GGTCGTCAGTGCGTAGCCCTGGCGTGGCCGCGCCGGTCGTTCCAGGGCAAGCAGGCGTGGCACTTTCTGACACCATAGGGGTGCTCAGGGGTGGTCCCCATCCGCGCCGGTCGCCAGCCGAGCGGCTGAGTTTCTCGACGCCGTATCCGCGCCGGTCGTCCAGGCCGTAGCAGGCGTGGCACTTTCTCGACACCATAGGGGGTGCGCACGGGTGGTCCCCTTCGGTCGCCCAGGCGAGCAGGCGTGGCAGTTTTCTAGGGGGTGCGCAGGGGGTGGTCCCCCAACGCCGTAGTGGGTGCGCACGGGGTGGTTCCCTATCCGCGCCGTCGTCCAGGCCGTAGCAGGCGTGGCAGTTTCTCGACGCCGTGCCGTATCCGCGCCGGTCGTCCAGGGGGTAGCAGCGTGGCATTTTCTCGACACCATAGGGGGTGCGCACGGGGTGGTCCCCCTATCCGCGCCGGTCGTCCAGGCCGTAGCAGGCGTGGCAGTTTCTCGACCCCATAGGTGGGTGCGCACGGGGTGGTCCCCCTATCCGCGCCGGTCGTCCAGGCCGTAGCAGGCGTGGCAGTTTCTCGACACCATAGGGGGTGCGCAGGGGGTGGTCCCCCTATCCGCGCCGGTCGTCCAGGCCGTAGCAGGCGTGGCAGTTTCTACCATAGGGGGTGCGCACGGGGTGGTCCCCCTATCCGCGCCGGTCGTCCAGGGCAGAGCAGGCGTGGCACTTTCTCGACACTTAGGGGGTGCGCAGGGGGTGGTCCCTGAGCGCGGCCGCTATCCGAGACGGTCGTCCAGGGCATAGCAGGCGTGGCACTTTCTCGACACCATAGGGGGTGCGCAGGGGGTGGTCCCTGAGCGCGGCCGCTATCCGAGACGGTCGTCCAGGGCATAGTAGGCGTGGCACTTTCTCGATTCCATAGGGGGTGCGCAGGGGGTGGTCCCTGAGCGCGGCCGCTATCCGAGACGGTCGTCCAGGGCATAGTAGGCGTGGCACTTTCTCGATTCCATAGGGGGTGCGCAGGGGGTGGTCCCCGAGCGCGGCCGCTATTCGAGACGGTCGTCCAGGGCATAGCAGGTGTGGCACTTTCTCGACACCATAGGGGGTGCGCAGGGGTTGGTCCCTCACCGCGGCCGCTATGCACGACGGTCGTCCAGGGCATAGCAGGTGTGGCACTTTCTCGACATCATAGGGGGTGCGCAGGGGGTGGTCCCTCACCGCGGCCGCTATGCACGACGGTCGTCCAGGGCATAGCAGGCGTGGCACTTTCTGGACAAAATAGGGGGTGCGCAGGGGGTGGCAACGGCCACCAACATCATTCTTACATGCTTCACTTCAGCTATCATCGCTCCAGCCATAATATAAGTATGTGGGGTTCCTCGGCAGCGTAATTCTCGTATTGATCGTGTTTATTCATCCTTGCATCCCGCTCTGAATCACACTAGGAAGGTGAATTACCACGTCTTGGATCGCTGGCCGCATCTATCTTCGCATCGACCCGTGTCTTTTGCATTGAGCCGCAGGGTGGAGGCCCCCGTATTCAGAGTGCCTGCGTGGATCTTTTCACACGAGCTCTCCTGCCAAGAGGTGTTCGCGGAGTACCAGTTCGAGGTGGCACGTTGTTCGAGAGATGCTTTCGCAAAGCTGGGGCTGTTCAAGCTTGCTGTGAAAAAGGCTGTTAAGTTCACGAAAGCGAGAATCAGGAACGCACCTGCGTCCACAACAGAAGAGAAGCTTTCGGCATGCGTGGGGTTCTCGAGGGCGCTGGACCGCAATGACTGGAAGAACGCTGGGCGCATTCAAGCCTCATGCCCCCGTCTTCGGGGCGTGCCGGTGGACCAAGGGGCTGCGGCGACGCAGGCCTACAGGGATTTGCTGGCCCATTTGCAGGAACTTGGGCACGTCTCTGTTAAAGAGCGCGTGGACGAGCTGAAGCGGGTGCGCAAAGGCATGCCGGAGATTGTGTATAAGCAGAGGAAGGACGGCATTCTTTCCTCTCTACGCCGTTTGCTCCCTGGCGCTACTTGCGGTCTCTCGGCCGTCAGGGATCGCAGTGGAGGTATTGTTTCAGAGCCGGAGGCGCTAGCTACTGCACTGACGTCATAGTGGCAAGCGGTTTTTGATCACAAGCCCACGGATAGTTCTCTGCGACGCCGGTGGTTCGACCAGCTATCGGACAAACTGCGAGTGGATTTGTCTGACCTCTGCCCTACTCTGGAGGACGTGCGAAATATCTTCGAGCTCTTACCCAAGTCTTCTCCTGGACCAGATGGTATCCCTTTCGGGGTCTACGGGAGGTTTGCAGATATTCTTGCGCCCGTATTCTTCGAAATTGTAAAGGCATGATCCAGGGTGCCATCACGCCGCCGTGCGACTTCACTTGGGCATTTCTTATCTGTCTTCCAAAGGGCCGCGGCGACCTGCACGGAGGAACCGAAGTGCACGACATTGCCGGGGCCCGCTCGTTGTCCATAGTCGACGCTTCTAACAGAATCATAGCTTCGATTTTCCGCGTGGCCTTGGAGAGGAAATTTGCTGATTGGGTTTCTGCTCCTCAGCGGGGCTTTTTGGTAGGCAGACAGATGCTACGCAACGTGGTCGATGTTGATTTCGCGGCGCAGAAGATCAGCATTTCATCGCGGAAGGGTGCCATCGTGCTGTTTGACTTCAAGGCGGCGTTCCCCAGCCTGTCGCACGACTACATGTGGGGCGCCCTGGAGGCCATCGGGTTGCCGCCCCGCTACATCGACGCACTGCGCATGTTCTACAAGGACAACAAGCGCTGGATCAAAATCGGCAGCTCCGTTTTCGAAAACGTCAATGTGCGCAGTGGTGTGCGCCAGGGCTGCCCATTATCGCCTCTGCTGTTTGTGCTTTGCGCCGATATCATGCTCCGCCGCATATCCTCGCATTTGGGCTGCGGGGAGGTTGTCCGGGCGTTTGCAGGCGACACTGCTGTGGTGCTAAGAGACTACACAATATCCTTCCCCTGCATTGGTAAGGCGTTCTGTGAATGCGCCCGCATATCTGGTCTGGAGCTCAACATCCAAAAGACTGTTGTCATCCCGTTGTGGAAGGTTGCTTGCGCAGACAGACTTCGAGCTCTCATCGCAGAGGCGTGCCCCTCCTGGCGTCCAGTCTGCATCTCATCGTTCGGAAAATATTTTGGCTTCGTGCTGGGTCCAGGAGCGGAGGGAAAGTCATGGGGCAAACCGTTGGAAAAGTTCTGCGCTCGGGCATGCCAGTCGGCGTCTCTCCACCTGGGTATGTTCTACCACGTCCGGGCGTTTTATATTTACGTCCTCCCCGTGCTCTCCTTCGTCATGCAGCTGGAAGACGACAGCAATGACGCAGCCGACAGCTTCCGAAGGGTTCTACGCGCGCTTGCTCCCGGTACGGGCTCTTGGGTCACTCCCGAAGACTTGACTCATCTTGCTGACTGTTATTCCTTTCCGTTGCAGTTCGTGGACCCCGCTTGGATTGCTCTGGCGGCCAACTTAAGGGTTGTCGAACAAGTCGCAGCAGATTGCGGCGAACGTGCCGCAGAACTAGCAGAGCTGCAGGCGGAGTGCGGGGGCCTCCCTTTCGGGTCCTGGCATCATAAGTGTTATTTCTCTGTGCTGTCGCAAGCAGAATCTCGCGTTTCAGGGTGGGGGGTGTCGCGGCGACGGATTCGGCGTGCTCTGGAGGAGAAACCGGGATCTTCGTCCCAGGCTATCGCTCAGCAGTTCATCTGGCACGCGGCGGAGCGCCCCTACAATTCTGAGCACCGTCTAAGAGTGAAGCTCGCTAAGTGGAACCTATCCGGGCCTCCTGGCACAGTGGCGCGCCGTGCGCAAGGGCGGCTACAGACCGTGGCACTCCACTGCCCGCCGCGGGTGCTGTCAGCAGTATTCAGAACATGGTGGAATGGGTGGGCGACCGTGCGCAGGATGCGCCATGTGGCGGGCAGCGCATGGTGCGGGACCTGCACGCTCGGGTGCACAGGGGCGCAGGACAGTTTGGAACACTACTGCCAGTGCCCGGTCTTCTGGCAATGGGCATTGTCTCCCTGGCCGCGCGGCCTTGGCTTGGCACCGCGGCTTCGCTCTCGCGAATCTTTCTTCCTGCTCGAAAGCGGCATGACCTTTCAAGACATCATCCGCATGAGTTCTGGCGTCTAAGCGCTGTTCCGCGCGGTCAGCGGCGGTGGCGTGCAGGCGAGCGCGGCGAAAAACACGCGCGCCCTACTGTATCTGTGGCGATGCAGAGCGGGCGAGTAGATCTGCGGTGGGCCCGATGCGGTTGCCTGGAGTGCAATCATCCCACTGCAGGCTGGCGGGCCCGATGCGTTTGCCTGGAGTGCAAGCATCCCGCTGGCGCGCGGCAGGCCCGATGCGTTTGCCGGCGTGCAAGCGTCCTGCTGCGCCACCGCCTTGCGGCGGCCCTGTTGCGCACGCGTGTGGGAGTCGAGTTTGGCTTGGTCCTGGATGGAAGAATCATCATTCTCATCATCATCAGCATCATAATTCTCATAATCATCATAATCATTACCTCCACGCGCTTTCACACATTCCACGCACTGACACACGCACACACACAAACACACACACACATACACACACGCACACGCACACGCACACGCACACGCACACGCACACGCACACGCACACGCACACGCACACGCACACGCACACGCACACGCACACGCACACGCACACGCACACGCACACGCACACGCACACGCACACGCACACGCACACGCACACGCACACGCACACGCACACGCACACGCACACGCACACGCACACGCACACGCACACGCACACGCACACGCACACGCACACGCACACGCACACGCACACACGCACACGCACACGCACACGCACACGCACGCACACGCACACGCACACGCACACGCACACGCACACGCACACGCACACGCACACGCACACGCACACGCACACGCACACGCACACGCACACACACACACACACTCACTTCGGAGATTGCTCTCGCTCGGAAGCTGGACGTCATCACGCTGATGGTGGACCTTCTCAAATGCTTCGAGATGGTGGCGCCCGAGGTTCTGGTTCGAGAGGCGATGGAGGTCAACTTCCCGCCCAGGCTGGTATGGCTACTCATCCAGCTCTATCGGCAGCCACGCGTCGTTCGAGCACACGGCAGCAACAGCGAGTTCTTCATCTCCTTCCAAGGCATCGTGGCAGGATGCTCTCAGGCGACGACCCTCCTTGCTGTGCTGATGCACAGGTCCATGCTGAGAATGTGCGCGCTGTGCCCGTCGCTCAAGCCTAGGCAGTTGGTCGACGACGTCTCCCTCCAGTGGACTGGGCATGCCAAGCACTGCGCGAACGAGTTGGGCGAGGGCATCGATCAGCTCAAGTTCGAGCTCCAGGGCCTCCAGCTGCCCATCCAGATCGAGAAGCTTGGCTACGTCGCCTCTTCCAGCCGTGTCAGCAGGGCCTTCCGCTCGGCGGCGCGAGCCAGGCAGGTCATGGGCTTGCCGTGGATTCGGAACCTTGGCCATGAGCTAGCTGGCCCCAAGGTGCGACGGCAACAAGAGGCAGCACGACTACAGCAGCTTCGAGGACGGGTGCGACGCACCCTCGTACTCAAGGAAGCTGTGGGGGCCAGCCGTATCACGCGGATCCAGGCCGCTGGGATCACGCCGTCCGTCACACACGGGGCCTCGGTCAGCGGGGTCTCAGACGCGGTGCTCAAGCCGATCCGCTCGATCGCTGCGCTGCTGGCAGGAGTGCGCCCGACGGGCAGCATATGCATGGGCATGCTCATGCAGGACCAGACCCACTACGATCCACTGTATGCGGCGACCACCAACATTGTCTTCATGTATGCGAGCATGCTGTGGGAAGGTCGGCTGGGAATGCAAGCCCTCGGTGGCGCTTGGGAGTTCGTCAACGGGCAGATGAGCGCTCAGCCTAGCTGGAGCCGAGTGCGTGGCCCACTCGGGGCTCTGTGGCTCACCTTGCATCGGATCGGCTGGCGGCTTACCTCAGCGACCACCTTCGAGTCCGACCTTGGCACTGTCCTCGACCTGAATCAGATGGCGCCCAGAGACGTTCGAGACCAGGTCGTCCAGGGGGTCACGCGCTGGCTGCTGGCGCGCGCGGAGAGCCACATCGAGACACACAATGGCGAGCAGTTCTGGTACCGCGGCATCAGGAGGTGCGTGGAGAAAGCAGTTCGGGACCCTTCCGAACGCGGCTCGCTGCAGTGTGTCTGGACTGATGCGATGTGGCCTCGGCAGAAAAAGTACGAGAAACGCTTGATTGACTGTGGTAAGTGCCTGGCATGCGGTGCTGAGCGTGAGACAAACGCCCATCGTCTGTACAAATGCCCCGCCCTCCTGGACCCCGCCCTCCACGAGTCGGCCCCGTCTGAAGCGATTCTCAAGGCCCGTGAGCGTCTCGATCGCCTTGCTTGGGAGTCGGCCCAGGATGATCCGCATGAGTCTGTGCAGTTTGCGTGCGCTATCCCGTTGCAGCCTCCTGCCTCCGAGAGGCCTCCCATGTGTCCCGATGTCGTGCACCATTGGGGAGAGGCCGAGATTCCGTGGGGCGGTAGGCTGTATATCGATGGTGGCGGTTTCGGCATGGATACTCCTGAGATCGCTCGATGCTCCTGGGCCGTTGTACAGTTGCGAGACGACGGCTGGCCCTGTAAGGCAATTTTCGGCTCTCTCCCAGGAGTGCAGACAGTGGCGAGGGCTGAAAGATATGCGGGACTCGTCGCCACTTGCCTCTCCCCACAGGTGTCGTGCTTGATTTCTGATCATTTAAGTTTTGTGGGGGAAGGGCAACGGCGGGGCCCTGGAGATGCGTCCGCTTCGGCCCGCCACGCTGCACTTTGGAGAGCGCTACGCGCCACTGTGGCCCGCCAAGACAGGCGGCCGCCCTCGTTCGGATGGATTCCCTCGCATAAATCCTTGGCCCAGGCTATTGAGCTTAACCTTGATCTCCAGGACTGGCTTGGAAACAGTTGGGCTGATCTGTTTGCTAGTGTTGCTCTAGACTTAGCCGGCCCAGCTAAGAGCCTGGTTCGTAACATCCAGATTCGTATGGAGGAGGCCTGCCTTAATGCTAAATTCGTTGCCTGGGCGGCTGCTCGTGTGGCTGGTTCGGGGGTTTGGGATCCCGCGGAGGCTGGCCCGAGGCCTCCTCCGCCCGTCACGGCGCCCAGGTTGCTTTCGTTTGTGGCACACGAGTTTGCGGAGCTCCCTGGAGGGGGTATACGTTGCCTGGCCTGCAATCGTGTGGCACGCACGGCGGAGACCAGGCGATGCCTCGGATCTTGCCCATGCGTGCCGTCCCACCTGGCCAGGCTCCGTGCCCAGGCGGCCCTACAGGCCGAGGGGGTCAGCCCTGCCCCTCCTCGCCCCTCCCCTGCGGTTGCCCTGGCCTGGGCCGCTGCTGCCGCCGCCGCCGCCGCGTCGACCCCGTCGGAGAGACGTGAGCCTGACCCTGGCAGGAGAGGCAGCCGCTCGCCGAGACGGCAAGGTGACGGCCCCTCCTCCTCGGCGGCTCCGCTCAGGTCGCGCAGCAGGCTCGAAGGCACGCAGTCGGCCCATGCGTTTTTCGGGCTGGATCAATCCGCTCGCGTTCGCGCCCCGACTGAGCCCTCGACCCCAACTGGAGTCACGAGGGCCTCGGCCGACGAGGCCACCCCCTCCGAGCGCCCCGAGTACGGCCCTTCCGACGAGGATCGTCGGGCTCGGATCGCAGCCCGTCTCCTTAGTGCTGCTAGGGGCACACCTGCTGCCGCAGCCTCTGCCCACCTGTCCTCCACCCCTGAGTCCCTCTCGGGAGGTTTGCTGGAGGCCCCCCTGGAGGACCAGGAGGAAGGAGAGGGCAGGCAGGGCGAGCCGACGTGCGAGGGGGCTGGGAGGGCGGGGGGCCGTGCGATGCGAACGCGGACGACCAGCCCCACCCCGCCAACGGCGGAGCCAGCGGCGCCCCCGCCACTGACGGCGCCCCCTGCTGCGCCGCGGGCCCCGCGGGTGCGGGGCCAGGCAGCCCGCAGCCGTGCCGCCGCCGCCGCGGCCGCCGAGGAGGAAGGCGGGGGTACGGGCGGTGGGGCGGGGGTCTCTCACGAGCGGGGACATGAGCTGGTCTCCGCCCCGCCCTTCACCTTTTGTCGCAAGTGCGGGTTTCTCTCTGGCAAGCAGCAGGCGCGTGGTTTGCTGGTCGAGTGCACGGGGCCCCTGCCTGCATCAAGTCAGCGCACCCCCCCCCGCCCTCCGCGAGAGGGCTCGCCGTCGGGACAGGCTCCTCCACGGCCTAAATCCTTACACGGGTGAAGCCCTGTAAGTTTCTGTCGGGGTGAGTGTGTCTGCTCGTCCTCGGCCCTGGCCTCCGCGGGGTTCGGAGGTGCCTTGTTTTCGGTGATCTGGGGATTGCCTGCTTTCGGTTTCTGGTACTGCCCAGAGGCTCCTAAGCGGCCCATGTGGGCCCGTTGGCACAGGCCGCGGTCAGTTGCTCCGATGCTGCTGGACGTGCGCTCTTGATGGCCCGACACACACACACGCACACGCACACGCACACGCACACGCACACGCACACGCACACGCACACGCACACGCACACGCACACGCACACGCACACGCACACGCACACGCACACGCACACGCACACGCACACGCACACGCACACGCACACGCACACGCACACGCACACGCACACGCACACGCACACGCACACACACACACACACACACACACACACGCACACGCACACGCACACGCACACGCACACGCACACGCACACGCACACGCACACGCACACGCACACGCACACGCACACGCACACGCACACGCACACGCACACGCACACGCACACGCACACGCACACGCACACGCACACGCACACGCACACGCACACGCACACGCACACGCACACGCACACGCACACGCACACGCACACGCACACGCACACGCACACGCACACGAGCGCAGCACCGGCGCGCACGCGCGCCGGCCGCGCACCTGCCGCGCGCCGCGCACTAAACCGCGCACGGCCCTCGCACCCGCGCACACGCACACCACGCACACACCGCACACATAGCAAAGTCACGCAACACCACCGCACACGGGCCGCACACACGCACACACTCACAAAAGAACGCACACACACTACGCCCGCCGCAAACAGCACACGCACACGCCCGGCACACGCGCAACGGCACACGCACACGCACTACGCACACGCACACGCTCACGCGCCCCATCGCACGCGACACCCGCACGCGCAACGAGGCGCACGCGCTCACGCAACCGCACGCGCGCACGCGCGCCACGGCGCGCACGCGCGCACGCGCGCACCCGCGCACCCGCGCAAGACCGGCGCACCCGCCGCACGCCGCTGCACTAACGCACACACGCACGACACGCAAACACACGCAACACAAACGGCACATACCCGAGACACGCGTCTCAAGCACCCACACACACGCACACACGCACACACGCACACACGCACACACGCACACACTCACACACGCACACACGCACACACGCACACACGCACACACGCACACACGCACACACGCACACACGCACACACGCACACACGCACACTCGCACACACGCACACTCGCACACTCGCACACACGCACACACGCACACACGCACACACGCACACACGCACACACGCACACACGCTCACACGCGCACACGCGCACACGCGCACACCCGCACGCACCCGCACGCACCCGCACGCACCCGCACGCACCCGCACGCACCCGCACGCACCCGCACGCACCCGCACGCACGATCAGCTCAAGTTCGAGCCCAGGGCCTCAGCTGCCCATCCAGATCAAAGAAGAAGCTTGGCCTACGTCGGCCTCTTCCAGCAGTGTCAGCAGGGCCTTCCGCTCGGCGGCGCGAGCCAGGCAGGTCGTGGGCTTGCCGTGGATTCGGAACCTTGGCCATGAGCTAGCAGGCCCCAAAGTGCGACGGCAACAAGAGGCAGCACGACTACAGCAGCTGCGAGGACGGGTGCGACGCACTCTCATACTCAAGAAAGCGGTGGGGGCCAGCCGTATCACGCGGATCCAGGCCGCTGGGATCACGCCGTCCGTCACACATGGGGCCTCGGTCAGCGGGGTCTCAGACGCGGTGCTCAAGCCGATCCGCTCGATCGCTGCGCTGCTGGCAGGAGTGCGCCCGACGGGGAGCATATGCATGGGCATGCTCATGCAGGACCAGCCCCACTACGATCCACTGTATGCGGCGACCACTAACATCGTCTTCATGTACGCGAGCATGCTGTGGGAAGGTCGACTGGGAATGCAAGCCCTCGGAGACGCTTGGGAGTTTGTCAACGGGCAGATGAGCGCTCAGCCTAGCTGGAGCCGTGTACGTGGCCCACTCGGGGCGCTGTGGCTCACCTTGCATCGGATCGGCTGGCGGCTTGCCTCAGCGACCACCTTCGAGTCCGACCTTGGCACTGTCCTCGACCTGAATCAGATGGCGCCCAGAGACGTTCGAGACCAGGTCGTCCAGGGGGTCACGCGCTGGCTGCTGGCGCGCGCGGAGAGCCACATCGAGACACACAATGGCGAGCAGTTCTGGTACCGCGGCATCAGGAGGTGCGTGGAGAAAGCAGTTCGGGACCCTTCCGAACGCGGCTCGCTGCAGTGTGTCTGGACTGATGCGATGTGGCCTCGGCAGAAAAAGTACGAGAAACGCTTGATTGACTGTGGTAAGTGCCTGGCATGCGGTGCTGAGCGTGAGACAAACGCCCATCGTCTGTACAAATGCCCCGCCCTCCTGGACCCCGCCCTCCACGAGTCGGCCCCGTCTGAAGCGATTCTCAAGGCCCGTGAGCGTCTCGATCGCCTTGCTTGGGAGTCGGCCCAGGATGATCCGCATGAGTCTGTGCAGTTTGCGTACGCTATCCCGTTACAGCCTCCTGCCTCCGAGAGGCCTCCCATGTGTCCCGATTTCGTGCACCATTGGGGAGAGTCCGAGATTCCGTGGGGCGGTAGGCTGTATATCGATGGTGGCGGTTTCGGCATGGATACTCCTGAGATCGCTCGATGCTCCTGGGCCGTTGTACAGTTGCGAGACG